TTCCGATCTCGGCGACGGCGATGGCATGCTTGTTGGCGTTGAAAGAGTGGGTGAAGGGAGCAGAAGAGGTGGTGGGGTTGTGGGTTGCGGTGTGCTTAGAGAAGGGCCAAGTTTTTTTGGGCTTGGGAGCGGTGGTGTCGGGGTTTGGCGGATTGCGGTGTTTTTTGGCGCCGAAGAGTCGACGGAGAAAGGCCATGAAGATTGAAGGGAGTTTAAGGCATTGGAAAGTGAAAGAGAGATAAGAGAAGGAGTTGGAAGAAGGGAAGACTTAAATGGACTTCGGATTTGGAAATGTTTTTACTGTTTTATGCTACCTTCCCACCTTATCACGCGCTGCCTCTTTCATTTCTAAATTCTAAATTAGGGATTATATTATTATTATTATTATTATTATTATTATTATTATTATTATTATTATTATTATTATTTGAATCATAATTTATTTAAAATAATACTTATTATCATTATTATTTAATAATAAATTTAAACTTTATATTTATAACATTATAATAATATAATATATTTATTTTGAATTTATTTTATATTAATTAATGTTTATTTTTTGAGTTTATAATAATATAATATATTTATTTATTTATTTTAGAATTTAATTTGTATTATTTTTTATTTTCTAGGTTGATAGTATTGTATTTATAATAACTAGCAGGAAAAAGGCATTCCGTGCTTATATTGTATTGAAAAAAAAAATTACTCATAAAAAAGTAGTTATTAAAAATAAATAAAAGATAAAATGATCCATATAAAAATAAAAATTAAAAGTAATTATTGAAAGTGAAATCCTTTTATATATTAGTATAAATTCATTATTTTCAAGATTTTAAATTTGATTAAAAATATTTTTTTCTAATTTTTTAAAATAAAAGGGTATAATAGTCCAAAAAAAGTGAAGACCAAGGTGGTTACCAAAAAGTGTATCTCCTTTATATATTAGTATAGATATATTAAATTATTAATATTTATTTTAAAATATTTATTTTTTAAAAAAAAATAAATAAATTTAATTATGTTGATCTAATTAATTTAATTCAATCTATTTGTGATTAAGTTCAGTTAGATTTTTTAAAAAAAAATTGTACATACTTGATTCAATTCAACTCATTAAATTTTAATCGAATTAGATAATGAATTTATCTAAACTCAACTTAATCTAACCTGTTTACACCTCTATTCAAAATTATAAATATATACTCATTATCAAGACAATGTTATATATTTTTTTTTTTTGTAAAGATAAGAAAGATTATAAAGATAATCGCAATAAGGATTAAACCTAGATCCTCATGCTTCTAACGACCTCAACCCCTCCCCACTCAACCACCAGGCTAATCCTAGTGATTTTTCAAGACAATGTCATATGGTATTATAAAAAAAAATTATTTATTTATATTAACATAAATATTAGCAATTAAAATTAATTATTTAAATTTTTTAACAAGTTAAATTATTTTTTTTATAAAAATTTAAATTAAAACATGTTTATTTTATATAAGATTTTTTTTTCTATCTAGTCATTCTAAAGTACTAAAACATATTTTTTACATTGCGTTATATATATATATATATATATATATATAAGCTATTGCGTTATTATATTTTTATTATGATTAAAATTAATTAAATAATTGCGTTTATATGTCAGTG